CTTTTATCACTTAGGAGCCGTGCGAGATGAAAGTCTCATGCACGGTTTTGAATGAGAGAAAGAAGTGAGGAATCCTCTTTTCGACTCTGACTCTCCCACTCCAGTCGTTGCTTTTCTTTCTTCTTTCTCTGCTCCCCATGAGGAAGACTTGTCGGAAATCGCCGGTTGGGTTGGTCCAACCAAGAAAGGCATGGGAGTCTTTGGGCTCGGATAGGTGAGATCCTCAACAAGGTCTCGTACAACTTCATGTTTGACGTTATACCTTGAGACCTTTCACCGTTCGTGGGTCCTTCAGCACCATTCGATTTCCCTTATGGCGCAACGGTTGAGCAACCTCGGATGTACCACTACTAGGATCTTTTAGTAGCGGAGCTCATCTCGCTACATGGAGCGCCTCTGCCCCGCCGTGTCGCGACGAGTGTGCAACACCTAGAGAGGATAGTCCTACTCGAACTCGCCCTTACGTCCCTCGCTGGGAGGGGGCCGTAGGTTGGCACTCTAGTGATTAACTAGAGGTCATAAGGAGGTGTGGGACACACACCAACTTATGATCGGGTAAACTTGAGATATCAGATGAGGCGACCCAGTCTCCCAGGCTGCTCATCTAACCCAGCAAGTCGCCCTGAAGGGCACTGCTAATACCAGAAGAACTGGCGATCAGCAGCGGGGAGGTTATCAACCTCCCTTCTACGAGATTGATTTCTTCTCTTATGAAATTGCTACTCAGCTTGAAAAGAAGCCTCAAGCCGATAAGAGTTCTTCATCATGTTCGAGAATTTCGCTGAGAGTGATTGACCTCTCACTCACGGCACACATGCTATATGTGTGCTGCCGACACCTAAAATAAAAAACTTTCACTCCTCCAGCTGTCCAACTATGATGTGTTAAGCATATTGACCTCAATCCCAACTCTCCAGTCCACATCTTTAAAAATATACGACATTCCTTCGTCCTTCCTCCATCTTGAGTGGAAAAGCTATCGAGGCGGGGGGATAAAGATTGAAACTACATTTTCTTAGAGAAATGGATTGGAAGCGAAGTTTGGTTCAAGTAGGGGGAGCCCCCAAAATGATCGATAGAAATGTTGTAGTAAGCCTAATGTCCAGAAAGAAAGTGTAGGTCGATAACGGGTCATCAAGGACAGGTGAATGGATTAACGTTCCTAAAAGGAAGGACAGGAAAGGTCTTAAGGTGCTTTTTACCCCCAAAGCCAATGGGATAGGAAGAAGAAGCAATATTCTTTTCGGCCAAGCCAGTTCCTTTTAGATCGGATTACGCTTTCGAGGTGTAGCACCTAGTGAAACCGAGTTCACAAATGGTATTGCGAAAAAGGATATATATAGATATAAAAAGCACAAAAAGACGCGGTGCTCTATGGTTCTTGTTTTAGCCTGGTAATCACCTTAGGCATTTCTCAAAAGGATCTCTTCTATGCTTTCTTCTTTTATAGATGAATTACGTCCCTCGCCCAACGCAACGCCCTTATTTGGGGCACTGGTTACGTTACCCGGCTCCTTTGCTAGCTTCGTTTCCTTTGGTTCTTTCTACTTCTTTTTTTTTTAAAAGACTAGTTGCTATGCTATAGAGGTTCCCTTATTTCGGGCGAAGTCAGTCTCTTTCTCTTTAGTTTGCTCCATCCCCATCCATTCCCGAGCCTTGAATCACATGTCGAGTTGGAACCTGCTCCACACTCCTACAAAGCATTCCTCAATATGTGGACAATGTGAATGAGCCTAAGCCCATTTAGAAGAGGAGGAGCCTCTAGTACGGTAAGCGAGGTGGATTCGAACCAATTCGGAATCAATCATCCTACTGACTACATGATGGCGATCCTTCGACCCACCAATTGGCTAAGCACCGGTTCTGCCCGTTCAGAAGAGCATCCTGTCAGTGAGAACCTCCGCAAGCAGAAGAACTTTACGATCCACGTAAGTGGCCTTCCAAAGGATTGACGTCTAAGTTCTTTCTACATAGGAAGTCCCGTGGAGAATAGCGGCCCCGTTCACGTCATACAAATCTGCCTTGTCGTTCAAATCGTTACATAATTTCATCTTATCTTTTTAGGAAAAAGAGCTTTCGTGCGGTCTCTTAGTCAACTACCTGAACAACAGTTTGATAGGTCACTCAACGTTAACACTCTCCTCCACCCTCCGCCCGCGATTGGTCAAATAGACTGCTTACAGCACAAATTCTTATGTTTGATTGGGCGGTATCATACAGAACGAAACGATTGATCAAAGTGTGTTACAGGCCATGGAAATAGCCTTTTCGATGATTATTGAGTTGGCCTGTTACCTTGTTTCAAAGCTAGCGCCCCTGCTCCTTCTATGAGTTGGCTACTCCGTTGTACGCTATCTTTCTCTTCACACCTGGCCCACCCCTAGTCAAGTTCCTTTCTGCTTTTTTTCTTGCTACAAGATTAGCCTGTTTGGTGTGGTTTGTTACCTAAAAGCACCATCCTTTCTTATTGGCCTTAGAGAAGTCTCATTTTGGAATCCTTGTTAGGGAATCCCTGAAGGGGGGTTCACGCTCGAGACGAGGATCAATCATATATGTAAATAGATGAAAGCGAGAAAGAAGGAAGAACCTACCTTTCCTGTTTGGAATAAATCAACAAAAGCTTCATCTGCACAAGCACACGGTACTAATAAGCCCTACCGTGGAACCACATGAAACGAAGAATAGAACTTCAAACTCGCTAGAATGCCATGTCAGGCTTACGACGGATGGGACCTTAATAACGCAATTTCTAAGATCAGACGGACGACTCAGCTGCCTTCCCAATCATCAGGCTCAAAACCTTTCCCAACGGTCGCTCAAGCACTTTCACACAACAAGAAAGCAAAGCGTACCTCGCGCCATCCGAATAGCTTTCACAGCAAGCAGTACGGCGCAACAGAGGAGCTCGTTCAGTATCGTCTTTGTTTGAAAGAGAGAAATCTTCCCATAAGATAGATAGCCCGGGATAAACCGCTCTACAGAACACAGAGAGAAGGAAAGACCCTCCGATTAGAAGCGGAGAGTGATCGAACGAAGAAGAAGATCGGATGTGAAAAGCATCGGTTGCGACATCGAATGAGACAATCCAGCAACTTAGATGTCAAGATCCTACGAATTGGAATGGTAAAATACCGCGGATGAAATGTCGAGATAAAGCTTTCGGCACCCGGCTAGGCCCCGCTTGTAATGAATCTTCCATTTTGATACATAGTTGGCCCTCGAGCTGGTCCACCTCTTATTTATCTCTGGCGCGGGCGATTCTAGCCGCTGTCTATTTTCTAGCTTTTTTGAAAGCTGTCCAATCGGTCTGGTTCACAGAGCCCTCATTCTCCCCGTACGGGCTCGCAGGAGCCACTTCGATCGACTCTGCCTACAATAAATAAGCCAACTCTATAAGATAGAGTGCGAGACAAAGAAGAGAAAAGAAAAAGAGGGCCCGACGACGAGAAGACTCCCAGAAGGTCTCCAAACAAATATCGCCCTAGAAGGCGTAGGCATGGAGCGAATAAAATAACCTCTTCTCTTATGTAACTTCTATTACTAATCCCAGGAGGAAGCAACAAGACGAGCCTTCTCTTTCATCTACACAATCTTCCCATGATCCAATTTAATCAGCCCAAGTCACTGAGGATTTGCCTTCGCGGGTCACTCGTTCCTAGGGGCAAGCCTCGGCTCAAATGCCTTTTCCACCGAAAAGAAAAATCTTTAAACAAAAATCCACCCCAGCAAGGAAGGAAGTGATCCTGCATCCTTCAAGAATTCCAAGTTAGGAGCCTCAATTGATCCATATTCAAAATTCTCCCCAAAGGAGTCGGAGTCTGGATCCGGCAGAAGGGGACTCAGTCTCCTCACCGAGGTCTCAGTCAGAATCGTCAGAAGCTTCAGCTAGCTCATTCCCTTCACAACATATGCTTTTCCAAAGAGGATAAAGAAGAATGATTTAGTTAGTAGCCTGTAGCCAAGCCGGTCTCTCTCTTTCGATGTGGTCGAAGAGTCTTCCCTTCAGTCGGTAAGTAGAGCGAGTCTAGGGTTCTAGTCCCATTGCCTAATCGGTAAGCAGTCCAATCTGTACGTTATCCGTGCATTGGGAAAGCATTCCCGATCGTCTTTTAGTCCGCTATTCCGCTATCGTTCTACCAGTAGTCAGTAGTGCAGCCAGCAAAAAGGAGTTCAACTTAGAACAAGAAAGAAAGCCTAGGCCAATGGTCCCACACCCGGAAAAGCATTCACTCGCTCAAGCAATAAAGCAAAATCAGGAATTTCTCCGGTTAAAAAACCTAAAGGAAAAGTTAGCTTCACCGATTGAAATTGAACCACTTGTTAGGAATGGACCACTTCGAAGAACTCAGGAGAAAGAAAAGGCACCTTACACGACTTCCACCACTAGCCGGAATGGGATGCATTGAAACTGACTAAAGCCACACTAGGGGTATGGCGATAGCCCCCGCTTAGACGGGGAGAGGGTATACACGACTTGGAAGACCTCCAATGATAGCAGAATCGAAAGCATTGCACCTGATACGATAGACCAAGGGTGAAAGACAGGAAAGAAGAGGACCTCTTACCCACTCCCCCCCCAGCCAAGGCATCTTCCTATGCCTTGATGTCCTGACTGGGGCCTCCTTTCTGTGTGCTTTTTGTGCGCATGGAAAGGAACCCCTTTTCCTTTTCGAAGACTACTAATTATTTAAAATGCTAAATCCTCAAAAAGTAAAAAAGCTTGACCTCCTCCGATTTTCATAGCTTAAAACATTTTTTTCCGTTCCTACCAAAACATCGTCAAATATCTGTCTTAGCTGCCTAAATTAGTAATGTAGGCATCACTCTTT